CTCCATTTTAAAACTAAAGAGTTTTTCTAGGAATGACAACGAGCTGAGCCAGCTCGCGAGCCGAAAATCAAGGCTCGGGCTCGACTCGAGCTTTTTAAAGACAAGCTTTTTTTTGCCCGAGCAAAATTGAGCAAAGTTTCAGCCAAAAAATCAAGGCTCGCCCCAAACTTTCGGCTCGAGCCTTACTGAGCCAAAACGAGCCGGCTCGTTTTTTTCCCACATTTTTTCCCCTTAAAAGGCAATCGAAAGCTGCCTTTATTTAGATAGCTGCTTTTATTTGAGGCAACTGGCTGCCTTTTAACAATTTTTTTTTTTTTGCCGAGCTAACTCGTGTTTGCGAGCCGACCGGCGAGCCACAGGCTCGACCAGGCACCCCAAGACGAGGCTCGGCCCGAGCCTTGAACCAAGCCTACTTGAACTTTTTGCGGGCCAAGCCAGAACGGCCCGAACCCTCGAACTTTTTTGCCATCCCTAAGTTTTTCTAACAAATATACCTTGTTAGGAAGGGTCTTTGTTGAAAATTGGGCATCTAAAGCAATTCACACGAAGTTCTTGCAATTTTGGCATTATCAACGTGCCTAGGAATGTTATCAGATAAATGCAAAATTATAGAGCTGTAGACAATTTCATTCATCTCTTCAATTTCAGCAAATTTTGCTTTTAACTCATCATGAAGTATTTCAGGATTATCAAGGGCCTTTGTAACCCTTCATTGGACCAAAAATGGCCATAATTTTTTGCTTCCAGACAGAGTAATCCCCTTTTCCATTTAATTGTAACAATTTGACATTCAAACCCATTGCGGATTTTGTAAAAAGGTCGCTTGTACACATGGATATCACTGAAAAAGTTTTATAAAAGAGTTTGCGAATCAGTTTAATGAAATTAAAGTCAAATTATCCAAAAATTGAAGCAGAGTAAGACAAATATTTGATAGTATATAATTACATATATCAGTTTAATCAGATATATAGAACTTCAGTCAAATATATCAAGGTATGGTATGGAGGCTTAGACTCACTAATTCAATTTATTTCAATAATAACATATATCCCAACATGCATATGTATCATACAAAAAAACTATCAAATCGAATTTTTAAGGAAGATTCAGAACAATCTTATCGATACTGCTTAAAAAACAGTTTTATTAACACAGTACCCTTAATCAAGCCAACAGTGAGAGCCTTCAATTAAACCTTCAATCTTACCCAAAAAGAAAAATAAATAAAAAATAAAACACCAGCATATCAGCAAGTGGCGCATAATCCAGTTTTTTCACTGTTGAGACCAAGATAGCTGAATAATATACTATTTGTTTAGATCAATCCAGATCTATGCAAATACGAAAAATAGTGTACCCAAAGGAAAAATATTCTAGGAAAAACGATTTACAGTTGATTTCAAGTTTTAAACCAAAATATAAAACATCACAAACGATAAAATTGTAAAGATGAACAGATAAACACCAAGAAATTGTAGACTCAATATCAGTCAATAAGCTTGATCTGGGGGGCTCAGCCTGTCCCACTAGTGCAATATTCCACTTGCCAAGAGAGCGAGATTACATGAAAAACCACTCAGACTGAGTTTTAGTCATAGATCTATTCAATCTTGTGAAATCGGTAAAATGACCCAAAAGAAAACCAACCAAAACTATATGGAGTTAACTACACAAATCTGCCACTCTTTTCAGGCCTGATGTATATGAACGCAACACATTCCATTGCATCAAATTACAAAAAACTCGAAAGATCAGAAAATAAGAAATTTTCAACTTGAAAGAACGAAGAAGGAGCCAAAGAGAGAGAAAATCGAATCGTCTAGAATGAGGTCCCAAAAGTCATATGAGTAAAGCCACACAAGAGACGGTATAAATTCCAAGAATAAATTTCAACATTTGATCGTATCTAACGGCTCAGGCAAGACTTCAACTAGCACAAACCTTGTGCATGCCAAGCCACCAATAAATGGAAGTCACTTGGGCAAAATCATCCAAATAGGCAGCGGGGGTAATTGACAAAAATAGCACTCCTTTTAATGTGTTTTGAGAAACACAACTTCTACAGTTTTTCTATTAAAGTTCAGAGAAATTGTAGTATAGGTGTTTAAGTTTTTGAACGTACGGATATTCATTCTATCATCTTCAAACTTTTAAAGATGTCTATTTATTCGCGTTAAAATATTATATTTTAATTTCAATGACGACCTCATCCTTAAACTATCAATTGAATAGAAAAATGTATAGAAACATAATGAAGTCAAATGAATATGGAAGTTTTAAACAATGGTGATATGTTTGGGCCTCTAATGGGCTGGTCTAGATATTTTAAGGACAACTTACAAAAAAGCCTTAAAATTAGAGATATTTTTAAAAATCATATGCAAAGTTTTTTTTTTAATTGAAAAATACAGTGTAAAATTAAAAAGTGACACAATGTGACTTTTTTTTTATAAAAATTACATACAATATCATTTTTATTAAAAAGTAATAAATGTCACTAAAAAAGTTATAGAAATTTAAAAAAGACGTTTGAAAAAAGTGACAAAAATTCAAAAAAGTAACAGAAATTTTTTAAAAAAAATGAGCATGCAGAAAAATCAAATGTTAAGTGTCATTTTTTTATTAAAAAATTACATACAATGTCACCTTTTATTAAAAAGTAATGCTTGTCACTAAAAAGTGATAGAAATCAAGAATTGATTAAAAAAGTGAGAAATAGTTAGAAAAAAAAAAGTGACAAACATTTAAAGAAAAGACAAAAATTCTAAAAAATGACAGAAATTTAAAAAAAAATGACTCCAATTAAAAAAGTTACATATATTTTTATTGAAAAAAGCTTGGATAATCCCCAATTCTTCACAGTGTCTTCAACAACTACTATATCCATCATCTACGAAGATGACTGTGTCCTATATCTTCCTTCATGCTAACCATCAAAACATGGCAGCAGAGAAAGATGAAACTGTGGAAGAATTTGTAAAGAAAAGGATAGGAAAGTTTTAGATATCTAGCCATAACTTCAGCATGGAGACTAATTTTCTCATATGCACCCAAGAACTAATTTGAAAGGGTGAAAATTTGATATTTTCCAGGGAAAATAAATGTAATCAAACACACCCTAATAGTTTGTCTAGTTTTCTAAGCAGCAGAAAGAACGACACTTCTTTAAATTCATTGAGAAGTTTATTACACGTTAGATTTTGACCAGAAAAATCCCTTTCTTCGAGTAGAATGATTATCGGATCCACCTGGAAGGGGTTGACTTTGGAGGAAGCATGTGACTGTGGGATGACAAAGGAGATGTTAACATGGGTGAAGTTGAAGGGGCTGAAAGCGATAGCTTAACAGGAGATGGTAATGATATTGCTGTAGAAAGATCAGTGATGAAATTTTGGTTTGGAGTTTTTGCATATGCATCTGTTCAAGGGTTTGGGGTTTTGAGAAGTTTAATAACATATTAATTTCATTTCGAAATGATTTAATTGATTAACAGGGTATTAATCAATTTAGTAATTTTTTTAGAATATTGGACCTAATTTGCCCATATTTTAAAAGCCGGAACCACCATCATATTTCGGGTATTTTGTAAATGAAACCATTTGACCACCAAAGTATTGAGATCAAACCCGAACCGAAATTGTTGATTTTGATATGTGTTCAATTCTACCCATAACATTTTCTAAAAAAGTCATGAGCTGACAATACAAATTATTTTTCCAACAGAAATGGAAGATATAAAATATATTACCAAATACATATTTGAACACTTTCTTAATCTAGTTCAAACATATCAATAAATAATATCCAATAACTAGCATAATGATATCCTTTGATAACTTACCATTACATCACGTGTGAAGGACAATGGGTGATATAATGTGGCAAATCGGTGAAATTTGAAGCTAGATTGAAGTTCATTAAATAGTATTGATGGAATGTGACACGATTGTGAAATTTGAAATTATATTGAAGTTTAGTTAGTTGTTTTTATGAACATGCAATTCATTTCCCAAAGACTTCATTAATTTTCAATTAGGTCCACCTAGATCTGGGCAAAAAAATCGGAAAATTGACTAAAACAATCAAACAAAAGCGACTCAGGCTGGTTCGAGTTGGCTTAGCACAAATTATTGGTTTAGTTTGATTTTTTTTTTTTTTTAAATCATGGTAGGTCATTTCAATCATAGTTTGAAACTTTAAACTCATGGGTAACCGAACCAACCTAAAACATTTACATGTTTACTTCTTCTTCTTTTTTTATTCTTTTTTTTTTTAAGAAAAATAAAAATCAAAAGATAAGCCCTAATTTTAAAACTAAAAATATCTCAATTCCCTTAACTCTATGATGTTATCGATAAGTAGTAGCACTAAATTTTTTTATTTCACAAGCTCTTTATATTATACTTAATATTTTTCCCTACTCAAGCAATCAAGTTATATAATGCATAAAAAGTAACAAAATACTTAAATTTTCTATTAATCCGTCTCTATTATCCTGAATTTATTTGTTAGACAATAATTCTTGTTATATAAAGTTATTTAGTTATTTTAATTCTTGTAATCTAAGTATGCCCAAAATTCGGACTAAAAGTTCAAACCGATTAATCGAATCCAAGCAAACCAAACGATTTGATAATGTTCGATTCAATTTAAGAGCTAGAATTGTTTAATTTGGATTGAAATTCACCCAAATCAGATTGGAGCCGAAACCTATTCAAACCAAATTGCATCAAGGCCTAGGTCGACTGCAAAATATTTATTTGTATTATGTTTTTTTAAATCTAACCTTTTCGCTTTTGAAATATAAATAGAAAGAAAGAGAGAGAATAAAACGAACAAACTCTGTAATTTCAGCACAGTAGCAGATAGAGACAAAATAAACAATCAGAATTCAGTACACAAACAAACCATTATATATATGTATACACACATTCTCACTACTGGATAGGATAGTTAATCTTCTCCCAATTTGAGCTTTCAAAAACAAAAAAAAAACAATGGCGGATCCCAAAACATACGATTTCTGGAAGCTGTCTTCAGAGCCATCGAAAACCAGCGACAAACCAAAAGCATCCTCCAGTTCCAGAATGTTCTCATGCCTTTATTGCACTCGTAGGTTCTGCACTTCCCAAGCTTTGGGAGGTCACCAAAATGCCCACAAGACAGAAAGAGCGGCCAACAGAAGAACATTCGCCGCCGGCGGTATCCTCCTCCAGAAGGAAACACAACCACGACCACCCTTCTCTTACTGGCTCCATCCACTTTCTTCGATCCACTATGCCTCCGGTGGCGGCTCCACCTCCACCTCAGCTTCTCTAGGTGTTTTTGGCGTTGGGTCATTAACCCCAGAACCATTTTCTCCTAACAGTGATTCGACTGACCACGTAAACCTCGATCTAACACTCCGTTTGTAATTTAACATAGGGCTTTGTCAGTTTCAGTTACATTAAACATGAATCGTATGGAGTTTAGCATTTAGAAATGCAGAATGTATCATTGCTTTGTGGGGTTTTCTTTTAATCTGATACTATGTTCAAGTGGAAGGAGAGATTACTTTGATGTTTTTTCAACAACTTCAAATTAAATTAATTATTGCTTGACCTATATTATTAGTGTCTCTCTGTATATATAAATATATGAATGTTTAGGTTCTTTTTTAAATTTCTGGTTATGTATAGAAGATTATTGATAAAAAATAAGACGTGAATGAATAATCAGTTTTCTTTCGGAAGTGTGGCGAGAGAACTGTAGAAGGGATTATTATTTAATTGTTAGTGATTCTGAGCAGCTCAGGTTCTGTAGCAGAGGCTGATGCTTAACAGACTTTGGTCGGATCCACTAACTCTTTCACCTCTGCATATTGTAACAAACACACACTCCACTTCTCCTTGTGGTCCTTTGCCGGCTAGGATCACAAGGCGGGATTTACCTTTTGCCGATATGGAATGACTTAATGAAAACAATTTCACCACTTTTGATTGCAGGTCCTTCTTATAAATGCTTGCTTCTGCTTCTGCTTCCTAAGGTTCGCATATGATTTAATTATCTTAATATGGTCTGCATAATAAGGGTACGAGTTTGCCGTTATTCCTTTATGAGTTTTTTTTATTGTTTAATACTATGCTTCAAGGAAGTTATAAAGGAAATTTCGTGCTCATGCAACATAATGAGGCTGCTAAAATCAGTATATTAACAAAATGAGCATCGCAAAAAATGTGACTGGTGATCAAGAGAATATAAAAAACCAGCGAAGACTGATGAATCCATTCATAAGGAAAAAAACAATTGGCTACTTATTGACGGTGGCGATATGACCAAAAAAAAAAAAAAAAAAAAAAAAAAAAAATAACACACACACTCCACTTCTAGTGAACAAGTGTAGTAACTGTACAATTGAATTTAGCTAGTAGTTAACATACTTTGGTCGATTGTTTTGGTGATGCAATTTCATTTCACAACGTATTAAACAATACGATAGACAATTATGACTTTTTTTAAACATAATTATCTCAAATTGAAAAGAGTAAACACTTACACTACATTAACAAAATTTCAATTTACATCATTTCCAAGTTTGAGTTGGCAATGATATTCATAATAAATGTAAAAATAAAATTTTGAACATCATATTTCTCTTCTTAATACAATTTGATTAGTGTATTTTATACACTATTGAGCTTCTAAACTTGATGATTTTTACTTAATTGAGTGGATATCTACCTAATTTAGTATGAATTATGTAAATTATAGGAAAATTCTCAACTTATATATAATTGACGTGAAAAAGGTTTCTAAAACTTAATTGGAGTTGATTTGAGAAATTGAGGATTATCTGAATTGCACGTGATTAATTGAAAGAAATAGCAGAGCAATCAATATAAGTTCATGAGTATCAAGAGCTGAATCCAACATGTGAAAATTTTGAAATGAAATTACAAACTTTCGAAACTTAGATTAGATCAATTGAGAATGATTAGGATCAAAGATGAAGGAATAGTACAAATAAGGAAGGATCAAAGTAAACAAAAAAAAGAGAAATCAAGGGACCAAAGTGAACAAGGGTCGAACTTTTGCCTTAAGACCGCAAGGTGTAAACACTTTCCATCAAATTACAGCAACAAGGAAGCCAAAACTAATAATGTGCGATCATATATGTGGTTATCTATGACTGGTCCAATTTTGTTTCATATTTTGATTCAACCTTTCTTTAGAAAGTAATTACGGCATGAGATTTGACCTAAATCTTGGGTCTATATGTACAATATTCGTCTCTCATTCAAACCAAGAGCATCTTGAATAGAAAATTAATAATATTACAAAGAAGAGCTCAAGGAAAAACATAAGAGGCTCTTGAGTAGTAAATACATATTCATTACAAAGAGAAGAGTTCTGAGAGTCGCTCTTGGGGGCACAATACATATAACTTTTAAAAAGAGGAGAGCCGAGAAGGAATCTTAGGGTACAACATAATTATTTTTTCAAAGATTGTGTTACAAAACACATAATTCTATATCATAGTTCATACACCATTACTTGGTTTGAAGAAGATGAATGAAGGAGATTGATCAATGAGCCACTAAAGAGATTCAACAATTCAAAAATTTTTCCAACTTCTTTCTACTCTTTAAATTCAAATAATGTTTATCAATTTAATCCATGCTTTTGTAATAATATGATACGAGACTAATAATAGTATAAATGTTATGATAATGTCAAACCTATGCTTTGATATTAATTTTCAACCTTTGACAATTGATACGTGTTCGGTTTTGATAAAAATTCAATATATGCAACTATTTTGACAATTGATTTGGCTTCCCTCACGGAGGTATGTGGAAATATGGATGGGAATAATAAAGAATTTATGAGAAGTACAGTATGCCTCTACAGGGCCGGCTCCAAGAATTTTGAGGTCCTAGGCAACCAATGATTATGAGGCCCTTAAGCATAATTTTTTACAAACGTAATACTACTTTAAGCCCCCGTTTGAGTCCCATTATTTCTCATTACATTAAATTAAAATTTTCTCTCTCCTACTTTTAATCACACAATCTTTAATAAAATAATATTGCACGTAAATCAAAAACTTTTCAATCACTCATTTTTCAAAAAAAATACTATTCATCTCATTATAATCTACAAATAATGGGGCTCAAACGGGGGCTAAAAATGGATATGGAGGGTGTTAAAAATATTTTTTTTACAAAAGGACCGCTACTTAAAAATAGATACATAGGATGTTAGTTTGCTGAAAAAGTAAATAGTAAAAGTACATATGAAATTTAAAAAACTTCTTCATGAAAATTTAACTACCATAGTAAGTTTGCTAAAATTTTAACTTTGTAGATTCGTAATCCAATTTTTTTATCGTTGGACTATATACCATTGGAATTTTTATCATTCACCCAAAAGGTCATCCCAATAGAGCGAACGAATCTACAACTCTGAAAGGAGATGTCAAAGTATGGAGGATGTTTATGAAAATTAAACGTAAAAACACGTTAAACATAAATTAAACCGTTTGTGAACAAGGTTGGGAGTCTTGGGATTATGATCAAGTTTAAATTTTCAACTTATCACAGATGACAAATTCCCCAATGGCATATCCATGTTAAATCGAAACAAAACAACAACAAATAGGTTTCATTTGCCATCAGTTTTGTTTAATTCTTAACTTCTTAAGAGGTATATCGGGTAGCTTATATGGGCTATGAATAATATACTGTTAATCAATATGGACCTATGTTTCCAACAACCAAAAAAAAAAAAAAAAAAAAAAAAGGTCCAAAGAAAAATAATATTTAGGCCCAACAATGACCTATCTTCAACGTCTTCAACCTGCAATACAGAAACTTTTGCTGCTGCAACAATGACATCTACTAGACAGGGCCAGAAAATCAGAGGCCCTAGGCGGTTGCCTTGTCTGTCTGATGTCGGGCCGGCCCGGTGCCTCTATCTTATTTATTAGTGCATAATCCAAATACAAAGTTCACATGCACGTGTGGATATATGTTTTGTTTAACTGAATGATTTTAATATGAATAATATTAGAATATAATGTGGATGAATGTAGCATTTTTTTTATAGGGAAAAATTTTAAAAGTGGAATAGATATATGAAAATGATTGATGAAAATAAGGGTACCCTTATTCAATTCAAAGGGTAAAATCTTAGTTTCTCAATGGGCTTATTTGATTAAAAGAAATTAATTAGAGATGGCGTGGACGTGGATTGCATCGAACACTCTTTTCATGACATGTAGCTGACTTTTGCAAGGTGTCAACCTAGCAAGTATTCTAAAGGAAAATTGTAGGGATGGTCTCCTATGTATAAAGTAAAACTGCAACCTTAATTTAATTTTATTCTTGAGTTGGTTTCATCAATATTGGCCATTGCCGATCGTTCAAAAAGACAGGTGATCTGACTTTGATGATGACTAAAATATATTTACTTTTAATAAATAAACACAAGGTAAAAGTAAAGGAAAGAAAAAAGAAAGAGAGAGAGAGAGAGAAATAACGAAAGAGAAAAAAAATATATTTTAGAATTACACTTCCGTCTTGCCAACACTTTCCATTCTAAGGCCATGCAAAGTCAACTTTCCATTTAGGAGTAAATATTTTAATCGAGATTGAAGGTTTCGGTTCCGAATTTCAAAAAAGTAATTGAGGAATCGGAATTGAAAATCGTGTCACATTCCATCAATACTATTTAGTGAACTTCAATCTAGCTTCAAATTTCACCGATTTGACAGATTATATCACCCGTTGTCCTTCACACGTGATGTAGTGGTAAGTTATCAAATTCTATTATCTAACGTACAATTGTTAATAAATAATTTGACAACTTATCTATATGTCACATTTCATCACTTATCGTACAATTATTAATAAGTAACTTTAATCAATTTGGAAGACAATAAATATGGGATAGGGTGGTGAAAATTAAAACTAAAATTGAAATTAAATTAAAGCTCAGTGACCTAATCAACACAAATTAAAAGTGACTTATCCAATTGAAAATTTAATAACACAATGAAAATACCAACGAAAGTTAAGCTCCTGTTTGGTGTAGATTAAAATCAGATTTTTAGTAAATTTTAATAAAAATTGATAAAATGTGTAGTTGAAAAGTTGAAGACCACATAAAATGCGTGGCTAAATTTAATTGTCGATTTTGATTTGAAATTAAAATTAGATTATAATCAGAAACAAACATGGGCTAAATAGCCGCAAATAAGTTTTACCCTACAAATATTTAAAAGGGAAAATTGCACTAGTGGTCCATAAACTTTCACTACTAATACTTAAAAGGGAAAATTGCAGCAGTGGTCCATAAACTTTCACTTTTTTTGCAGACTAGTTGAAGCAGAATTAGGGATATAAGAAACCGTATGAGCCCCAAACAAAGTAGAGACTAGTAGTGTAATTGGTTATGAAGTTTTGCAATTGATGATAGTTTACCGAACCTTTTATTGGTTAGTTAAATTCGAGATGAAGGTATCCTGAATCATGCTGCAC